TGCACAATAGAGTATCATAATATTCCTGAATCATGATGACTCAAACAGGGTGAGGTACCGGTGGCTCTGCTGATCGCTCATCCGAGGAGGAAGATGCCTGATTTATATGACGCTATGGATCTGGCAATTTAAGGGACAAGATGATTCAGAAAACATCGGGCCTGTTTAAATCGAAGGTTTAAACACGATGCTTCAGAATCCAATAAATGGAAGAAACGTGGACATCTCGTACCGTACGTTCCGATTTTGGTAATTATTTGGAAAGGTTAGAAAGGTTAAGTGATGCTCCATTTTCTTCTGACGGTTGGGGCATGAGCACTAACTCTTGTCCTAGCATTTTATGACTTATGGCTATAGCGCCATTACTCGCTTTCTGAAAAGAGAATAGGGAAAGGAAAAGGAGAAGGACAAAGGTAAAAGGATTTTGTTAAATCTATGAACATAAACAATATTTTTATTTGAAATATACAATATAGAAATGCAGAACGGTGGTCACTACCCGAGTCTTGTCACTATTATCAAGTCATAAAAAGTAACAAGGACTAAGAAGTGATCCTTTGATTACTGGAAAATCCTGATGCTTGGGACTAGCAACCATCCTCAATGTGTAAAAACTGGTGATCTCAAACTAGGCAATAGCAACGCCGGCCGCGCCCTAACGCAGGCCAAGAAAGGAATGGGTAGGAATGTGTTGACCTGACACTCGCCAAGCAACAATTTCAATCACGTTAGTGGATGACCCTGAGGGTTTAAATACTTCAGTAATACATCTTCATGTAATCATATTGAGTAAAGTTCTATACAACCAAATGCAGTTATATAAAGGTTATAGAAACTGATATTCAACTTGTGTGTTGACACTTTAACAACTCTTGCAGGGGATTGACTGTAGGAGAGATCCGAAAAAGTCCTATACAAGTCCCCGGCAAGGTGACAGATAACCTTAGTTTCACGTACCCACTTGCAAATAGTAGATGTCGCCACACAACATAAACAAAGGCATAGTCCTGTTCTGTCCTGTTCTCAACATCCACTTGATTTTTCATATGCACAATCACATTTATTTCAACTGCATTTCACTGTTTAAAACAGTAGAGTGATTCATTGTGTTATGCATTTAAACTGATAGGAAATATTATCAACATGTCAAAGTTTCAAACACGACGAAATTAACATTGTTTGCAGCATACCATTCTAGTACCTCCTTAGAGTAGTGGCAGTTGGCTAGATCCGGCCAAAACATAACGTTGGTGTTGTATTGCCGAATGAAGGGTAAAATCCGCTTTTTCAGACACTCTTTAATATAAACCTTCGACGTCATTGTGTGAGATGTGATGAAAACCTTGGTTTTAAGGCCACAACTGCAGATTCCTTGCCAAATCATTAGTTTCCCAGCAAACTTATCAGCAAAAACAAATTTATACCTGGAAGGGACATCCCCACGACCAGTTGCCAGGTAAAATTTTCGTCCGGGGATTTGCTTATTATCCATTTTGACACCTGTTTCGTCATTTATTAAAATACAGCCATCAAATTTCGTCAAAACTCGTTCGTATAGTAATCGTGCTCGCTTTTTGGCCACTAAATTTTGTTTCAGGGAGCGGTTTAGATGTTCACTGGCACAAAAAGACTTATATCCTTCTCTTGAAGGGATGCGTAACACGGTGGAAAAGTTGGAATCGTATTTCTTTGCCAAATCACGTATGGAGACACCTGGGTTGCTCTTCACGTACCTCAACACCTTTCTCCTCAACTCTTTGTTCCTAGTGCCACTTTTATGATAGATACGCTGTGCTCTATCAACACTCAGAGTATCCTTATAACGTTTGATTACAAGACTCGCCGTTGACTCTGGGAATTTGAACACTTTTGCTATTTTTGAGGTAGACCACGAAGGGTTCTCTAGATGTTTGTGCACAATTAATTTTCTTTTCTCAAGTTCCATGATCCGTAATTTCGGGATGCGTCGATCAATCGAGAAAAACTTTTCGCCAATTTCTTCGTCAATGAAACATCAACAAATGCTTGTCAAACGTTTTTTGTTCCAACCGTGCGTCCAGATTTACTTTGAATCGAGCTTTACAATGATGGTCGCTTCTGATCGGCTGATAAGCCAGCATTTTGATGTTGCCTGCTATTTTTCACCCACACACTTACAACCAACGCATATGTTGTTCAAGTTTGTCATGGGCCATCAATTTATAGACCAGTTAAGAGGGTACTGTCAAATTTGTGAAATCCCGTCCCGTGCTTCTGATAAGCGCCCATTACATATGTCAATATATTGACAAACATCGTATTGTCAATTTTCCTTACAATATAATCAATATATAAATATTGACAACATTAATGACAGTTCACTAAAGCGTTTGTTACACAGGTCAATATATTGACAATAAATTGACATATTGACAATAAATTGACATATTGACAATAAATTGACATATTGACAATACTATTGAAAAGGTAATATTGATGATGATTTTCATTTCACTTTCTCAATATCCTTTCCCTACGCAAGAGGAGGTAGAACGTACGTCATTTAGACCGACTGACTCACAATGCACCTTCACGCATGCAGTGTTGCCATTTTGTTTAAATCTTCGTGTGTGATATAAAATGGATAAATAAAAAAGTATCCTTTTACAGTCGCCAATCACTACCCAGGCTTCGTCTATATGGATATTCATTTGCTATAAAATCACAAACATAATCATGTATTTTTTTTTACTTTAAAATAAAATAAATACTATCTGCGTTTCACATGCCTACACGTAACGCAAATTAAATAATATATACGCGTTTTTCCTTGAGGAATGTATACCAAAACATCAGCATAATAGTTTATATATGGGAAACTGCATACCATGAACGTGGGTTATTCAACACGAATGGTAACTCCGCGCAGTCGACAATCGATTTGATTCAATTCAATTAATTTGTTATCATGTTGTCCTGTGTATTTTCTGTGTCCTGTCAAAAAGTTACAACATTTGATATTGGCGTTGACGGAACCGTCGAGAAATCGACAAATATTGACAGTTTCTTATTGGTACTCTCAGTGGAGTGAACGGATAGTACCAACATGGGTATTGTGAACTCTGTCGGTTTAATTTTTCAAGCAAGCAAAAAAAAAAATTGTGAAAATCTTTCGAAGCTTCAAATTGTTTTGCTCACGAAATCGTATATACATGCTGTCAAATGAACTCTTGGCTCCTCCTTCTCTGCTCCACAAATAACGTATACATGGTGTTGGGAATGCACCTGCCCACAAAGCTCACATGACTCTTATAAAGTTTGATTAAATTCTTGTTTCATTTTATTTCATATTAATATAAAATTAAAAAAGCATCACGTTCGATGATTTACATTATCCGCCTACTAAGGTTGATGTTTCGGCAGTTTCATAATTATAATTCTTAATTTGATTTCAGTAGGTGGCAATACCTTTACTTGTGGTTCAAGCAGTAACTACCCAACTAACAATTTTAGCTCCAAACTAGCTTATACAGCCAAAATTTGTCTTATGCAGGTAGTTTTTGGCTATATAAGCTGAATTGCAGCTAAAATTGTTTGTTGGGTACCCACATGACTTCTGAGCTCTTTTGAATGTTTGACTCCCATTTGACAGTTCGAATCGGCTCCCAGATGACAAGCATTTTGAGTTAGTTCGCAGTATTCAGGTACCAACTAGAAATACTCAGAAGGAGTGATAGGCGGAGAAAACAAAATTCAATTTGGCAGCAGGGATTTGTTCCTAAATTATCTTGCAACCCTTGCTAGAAACTAGCATTCCAAATGATTTTTAATTTTGATTCGAGTTACGTGCAAAATAATAATTGATTGCATCGCAATATTTTGCACATTTCTTGGTGCCATTCATTAACCAACGAACATCAATTAATCAATAGAGTTCGAATATTGTTTTTGGTTCCAAAAACTAGTTGAATTTGAGAAGCACACAAAACATAAAGGGGATGAATAGTCTCAAATTTATTCTAGAAAGAATAAGAAATCCTCGCAAAAATTCTAATGGGAATGTTCGATTGGCTCAGATTTTGACAGTTCATTTGGCTCAAAACACGCCCATCTCTCCCTCTGAGTATTTCTAGTACCAACCAATCCAAAAAATTTGAAATTTATTACGAAATTGTACGGATCTATTTAAAATCATTCAATGAAAATGTGTCGATTTTATTGATTTCTTACGAGACTTTTTCAGTAGTTCAAAAACCGAGCAAAATTTTACCGACTTAGGTTATCCGAGTTCAGTGTGTAGTTAGTATTTTCCATAGGTCCAGCAACGACGTTTCTCTTTTGACTCGCTGATCCACGTTTCTTGTGTGGGGAAATTGAGACAAGTAATATTGACTTTGATACATTGAGGTTATAAGGCTTCAAACGTTTTGCCATTGTTGTTGTCAATATTCGCATATTGATGATTTGACTGTTTTTTTTTTGTCAATATATTCTGAGTATTGACAAAGTGAAATGAAAATCAGCTTTCCATCAATACTTGTCATCAATCATCATCATCAATATCACCTTTTCAATAATATTGTCAGTATGTCAATTTATTGTCAATATATTGACATGTGTAATGGGCGCTATAGGGGCGCATGGATTTGCGATGGGCGGGTAGCGCACATTTGAAAAATCAGTGAGTTACCAGCTCTAAATTCACTATGGCAGCGTTGTTTCTAATGTGTCAGTAGCTAAACGATAGACATAAGCAATAGCGTAATAAAGCGATTTAAATAACACGAAACCTAACATTTAAATTTAACAAATCGTAACAATTCTACAGACAGCCCACAAACACTACACAATTTCGCTTCCCTTTCCCCAGCAACAGCTGTAATGATCATCAGCACGTAGCAATTAATATTCTTCTTTCTTCCATATCTTTTTTGCATTTTCCATTTGCTGGCTTCGACCACCAACTCGGACTCGGACACCGGACACCGGACTGGACCGACCAAACCGAATTCACTTCACAGCACCCTGGAGTACAGTATCGTGATAATGAAAAGCTTAGCACCACCAAGAAGGCACAGCAGCATCCACAACTACAGCAACAACAACAACAACAACAACAACAACAACTGAGCGGAGATGGCCAAATTTGTGTACGCCAGACTCCGTCGGGATTGCCCGGGAAAACTTCGACGAAATAACTTGGATAATTGTGTGCGGTTTAGACGAAATGGACGCAACCGGAACGACGTCGGAAACTCCAATTAAATTGAATTCCAAAACAAACATCGTCATCGAGAATGGTTTTATTTTTTTATTTGGGTGATTGTTTGTTTGTGGAGACAACTTTTAATATTTGCTACACCGACACCGACAACGATCTTCTGTGTAGACTAGTATGTTTGTTCAACAATTGTGGATTAGGGAAGAGTACAAAAAAAACGAGGCAAGAGTAAATAGCATTTTGTAACAGACAGTCTACGGATGGAATTTCATCTCATCCGCTACCAGAAGTTGAAATGTAAAATGTTTAAGCTTAGTCGGTTGGATAGGGTAAATACAGTCATTTAGCAAAACGGAGTTTTCACATGCAGCAGGTACTTGATGGAGGCGAAATTCAGGGAGGGTGTAAATATTTACTCTTTCGATATGCAAAACGTTTGAAATTGTGGCGTGTGTGATCAGTGAATAGATTTAAAGTGTCAGGCCTAGATAGGATTTTGGTGTGGCCATATACAATTGCAAATTGAGAGGTCTGAATTTGACAGGCAGCTACAGAGTGTTACAGTGTACAACAGATTTAGGCTAGATTGCTTAGATTTAAGATTCATACGAATAAGAGACCGAACCAAAGCTTACGAATGTTCATATTGATGGTAATATTTTTTGTATATATTTGAAGGCAGAATACAGACACATGTTTATAGCTAGCATCTCGATGTAAACCGTAAGCTGTTTTACCTTGGAAAGAACGTCCAAATGCCCATTTCTCAACCAAACTGATCGACAGCATTATTAAATTCACACATTCATAATCCAATCATCTTCCCCGTGGAAATCCCAATGAATTTTGATCTCGAGCCAGCAAACTGCAAAAGTCCATTTTATCGACCATTTCAGAAAGGCAAAGCCCCAATTTCCGTGCCAACAGTCGGTCAGTCCCTCTAGACCTCCCGCACCGCATGCACATAATCCTTCCATAAATATTTACACGTTCCCTCTATATCTGGCAACCGGCAATAGAATCATAGAAGCCTGAGCATCAGGTCTGCTGTGGATGTCTGGCTGCCGTGCATGTAGAACTAAATAGATGTACACTTTGTGGCTAGAAAGCGAACCGCAGAATGGCATATCTAACAGTGCCCCGCTCTCAGAATCTGCAATACTGCATCCTGGCGCTCCATCTCCGTGTGTGGCGTTGGCCTTGGCTGGATATCAGTCGGACGGTCGGAGGATGGCGTTTGCATTCTGTTTGTCTTCCGGATGATAAGCATATCGGACTGCTCGAGCACCGGCAGTAGCAAAACTATTACGAGGTTAGGAACGAAAAGTGAATTTGATGCAATACAATTTAGTCGCTAGTGGTCGCTTTTATAAAATAAACCCGGAAAGGAAATGTGCAATGGCGGTGATGGCTTTGGGATGTTGAATACCGTTTGAGCATTTATGTTGTGAGCAGTTTTCCGTTTCAATCATAATATCCGGGAATTTTTTATGTGCTGAGTAGGGTGCTTCATGCTGCAAAAACCAGAATTTATCCAACTGACGTCTTACGAATTTAAATTCCCTTCCAAAATGCTGATCATAAATTGAAGTTAGACATCGGGATACCATCTGGTGAAGTTCAAAATTAGGATGTATAGAAATTGTAAGCAAGCAAGAACCGATTTTAAGAGGTTTATTTAATTAATAATTGTTGGTTTCACCCTTCCCAAGTAACCAAAAGTTTCGCATTCAACGATAAAACTCACTTCCAAGTTCCATTAATTTCAAATAAAGTTCCGACAGAACTTTAAAGTTCCATAAAGTTCAAATAAAGTACTGACAGAACTTTCACGTACCATAAAGTTCAAATAAAGTTCCGACAGAACTTTCTTCTCAAGCAACCAAAAGTTCCGTATTCAACGATAAAGCCCACTTTCAAATTCTATAAAGTTCCGATGCGTACTCCTAGCAACTTGAAGTTCAAAAAAAGTTCCAAAAAGCATCCCTAAGCACTTCTGAGGAACTTCAGACAAGGCTGAAAACAACGTTCCGAACAAGTTCCCAGCAGAACTTCTTAGCAGCTTTAAAATATCTTAAAAGTTCCCCTGCGGAACTTCTTAGCAACTTGCAAGTTTCTATAAAAGTCTGTCATAATCCTCGTCAGCTGGCACTGAGAACTCCAACAGTAGGCGGGACAGCAGCTCACTTTAATATATATCAGATGACGTAGCGGTTCGTGCCGGAGGCCCTCACCCAGAAGGACTGGGTTTAATTCTTCAAACAGCTCCAAAACTAATAATTAATTCTGATAAATCAGTACACGTTCGTTCCTGCATATAGAAATAACTTTCATAAAAGTGCGAACAATATAAAATTGGTCTGAGAACAAAAAACTTTTTCTAACTTATTTTCTAAAAGTTCCATCCAAGCTCCATCAGAAGCTGCTTAGAATGCTCTTCAATTATGGTACCGGAACTTTCAAGTTCTTACAACGACTTAAAAATGAGGCTGCTTAGAATTCTATAGACCATCTTCAACCAAGCTGCTTAAGCCACAAATAGCGTTTTATTGGAGCTTTTGGTTACTCCTGAGGAAATCAAACCTTGGATAAAATAGCATAATATCCTTTTTTTCATTAAAAATTGAACAAAATACGAACAAGTTTTTTATTTAAAACAAAAATTTCAAACTGAATACATCGATACATCGAGATGGAAAGTCTATTTGTTATATTTATCTGACGATTTAATCATCTCGAGCAATTTCGAATTACCAAGCAAAAGTAAAGACTTGAAAAAATTGACACAAGTAAAAAATTTCAAATTTAATTTGACACTTCCCGCGTAACATTTGAAAAGGGCATATCCTCGTTGATCGATTCTCTTCATCGACTTTCTCTTTGGTTTACCACGGCAACAAAAACGAATTTCTCACTAAGCTCGCAGCACAGTTCGACAGAAGGTGATGTTAGCATGTGCCTGAAACAACACACTGAATGGGAAAATCATTTCTCACGTCACTTTTCAAATAGACCAATCTACATTGATAGATTCTCTTCATCGACTCTCTCTTTCGTTAATTACTTTGCTGCATTCATATTGTGTGCTAGATTTTCTATATAGCCTGTTAAAAGAAAGTATTATTGAGCGTATTGGACAATAAGAACAACTGAAAATGTTTTTGGAGAGGGTCGATGAATCGATGAAGAGAATCGATCAATGTAGATTGGTCTATTTGAAAAGTGACCACCGCCCAAGAGAATTACTTGTACAATCGTTTTGCCAACTTAAAAGAGAACTCTGAGGTACTAATGGGAAAAATTCATCATGTGAAATTCTTCTACCATAAATCTCGCCTTGTTGTGCGCCCACCTTTGCGAGAGAGTCTGCCTTCTCATTGCACAGTGGTTGAAAAGTCCATTTTGGCGCTCTTAATTAATAGCACCATGGAGAGCGGATTTAGAGTAAGACGTCTTCAGCAAAGTTGATGAGTATGACATGCTTCATATTTTGAAGGCATGGGTTTTGTGATTAATCCCCCTAAAAGAGAAATGAAAAATTTATGTTTTCACAATGTCGAGATAAATGGTTGACGTCTTCAGCAAAGTTGTAGCAAAAATGATTACAAACAACTTTGCTGAAGACATAAAAGTCCTAAATTTTACTCAAATCGAGATAGGGAGCGTTGTTTGAGGACGGACCCCTAAAAACACGTTTTTCATCAAAACACATATTTTCTTTAATTTTAGGTCTTCATTATGTTCAACAAAGTTGATTGGTATACTAAAATACACATCACTGATTGTTTCTCCAATTTGTGAGTCATTTAGCTCCCAGCGTCGCGTTCTACTCAGCTAACCCCCGGCGATGGATTCAGTCTACTCTGACGGAGAGTTCTCCCGACTACGTCTTTCACTTCGCACTTGTGTGAGCAAATTACTACTTTCTAGCTGGTCTTCTCGCCATTTTCGCTGACATGCATTAAAGGTGCCCTCCTCTCGACACATTTCTTCGACGACATTCTTCGCGCTAAGGTCGAGCATCTTCTCTCGCACAGCATCAAATCTAGGACATTCGAAGACCACGTGCTCTGGTGATTCTTCCACATTTCGACACTCCGCACAGAAGAGTGACGTTGTGTGTCCGAACCAATGCAGGTACTTCCTGAAGCAGCCAGGACCAGACAGGAACTGCCTCAAGTGGAAGTTGACTTCTCCATGATTCCTGTTCACCCAGGTCGAAAGAATCGGTATTAGCCTGTGTGTCCATCTACCGTTCTCTGCTGCATCCCACTCCTGCTGCCACTTAGCCATCGACACTGTTCACAATGGCGTGCTCTCCAACGGTGATTTCTTACCGCTGCACTGCTTTCCAGTTACTGACCAACATCACTTCTGTTTTGTGGTGGGCTATCTGCAGCTTCGCTCCTTGCATCTAGTTACCAATCGTATCTATCGAGGCCAGCGTTTCCACTTCTTCCGTCAAGACGACATCGTCCGCAAAGCCAACGATCTCAAATTCTTTGGGCAGCTTGAGCGTCAACAATAAATCAATGAACATCTGTTCAGTCACCAGCCATGGTTTAAAAAAATAAGTCTACTCACAATTTAAAAAAAAAATCTTCTAGGGTGTACGATCAATTTTGAGATACACTGTATGATCTTTCGACCAGCACACTAATCTGCTTCCTTATCTTTGATAGGAAATAAAATGAGTGTCTTCCTGGTTTCATCGACCAAATAGCCTCAATTGAACTGAGAGGATGAGAAGATGAAGTAATGGTCTGCGGACATGTAGGAAATCATCTCCAATGCGAAGTTGATTGCTCCCAGCTCAGCAACAAAAACGGAACAAGGTTCCTGGAGTTTGCTGAAGGCGCTAGAGTTTTCATTGAAGACACCGAAGCCAGTGGATTCACTGAGACGAGACCCGTCTGTAAAATATCTGTTTACGCAATTGACGTGTTGGTACTTTTCAGTAAAAATACGCGATATAATAGTGGTGGTAGATTCTCATATATCGAGGTTGTGTGTTCAGCCCAAGAATTTCTTCAAAATTTGCAATTATAAGTGTGTTCGTCACTCCGCATTTGATAAGTATTCTGAGAAAGAGCTCCCAGAAACGGTTCTGGAGTGGTGTTACTTCTTCCAGACCTCGAGACTTATGTTATGCGTTGAGTGCATTCAGCCGAGAGCAATACGCAGCCAACGATATTTAATTCGTTCCAATTTTATTAGGTAACACATCTCTTGCCTAGAGAAAGCAGAAAGAGCTGTACTCTAGAACAGAGAGAATACTAGATGAACATTTCAAAAGGTCCTATCTGCATTGATCGATTCTCTTCGTCGATTTTCTCTTTCAACAATAACTCAGCTGCAAAACCTTTCCCTGTTGTATTTGTCGTTTTGGACGCTAGATAAGAACCTCCTTTATCAAACTATGTAGTAGAATTAGCGCGAAATCTGTTTGCATAAAGGGTGATACGGTCAAAATTTGCTCAAGGGAAAACGCGTGTAAATCGGTGAAATCGTTTATTTAAAAAATCAAATTAAATTTCTTTTTCAAGTTCAATTAGTATAAAATTCAGGAAAAATATTCAGTTAGGCTTCCGCTTTTCCAAATCCGAATTGCCGGGCCTTACGCTTGACCCCTGCCATCAGATTTTGTACAGCCACCTTGTCCACCTTCTTCGCCGCAGAAAGCCAGTTTGCCTTGAACTGCTGCTCGCCCTTAGCAGTTTT